TGCCCCGCTCTTCAAGGGCAATGCGCAGGGACAACAGCACCGGTCCCCCTGCACCCCCAGGAGCTGGCAGCTGGGGGTCCTCGGGGGGCTCCGTGCAACCGGGCTGGGGGCAGACACATCCCCCCCACTGGGGAGACATCGCACCCCGGGGCCTTCGCCCCACACGGGCTTCCCTCCAGCCGGCGTAAAAGCTGGGATGAGGAGGATCAACACCCAGGAGCTTCGCGTGGGCTGCCCAGCCTGGCAGCCGCCCTCCTGCATGGGGGGCCTGCCCGAAGCCGGTGGCTGTGGGGGGGTCTGTCCCCTTCCCAGCCCTGCAGCACCCACCCAACCCCCAAGGTTTCCTTCCCGACTATTTGAGAAAGGATATGCCTGGAAAGGAACAAATCCCAAAGGCACGGTTATTTTTCCGGCCACGAATGCCTCCGTGATTCAGAGGATCTTTGAGGCAGGGATGCTCAGCTCCCGGATCGGCAATATTTCAGCTACACCTTCTCCCCCCTTTCCCACTGGTTTCATAACACTCCAGCTTTACTCCTTCATCTCCCTCTCTCTTCCAGGCTGGAGCTATGCAGTGCAGCGAGCTCGATGCCGGGAAGGATTTCCAGCTCCTGATGTGCAAAAATATTTAGGTGAATTATCGGTGGTTTTGGCTGAACCCCATCGCCCCAGTTAGGAGCATCTGGGATCTTAATCAGGCCAAGCCCCATCCCAGGGGACCGAATCGTCATCTACCTGGGGCCGCCGGCCGCGTGACTGCGCGCCGCTGTGTGCCGAGTGACATGAGCAGCATGAAAAGGGGCGGAGGAAATCTGAGCGAAGAGCTGAATGAATTCGCTCCCGCTCCCAGTAATTACGCACGGCCTGGGAACGGGGAGGCGGGCGAGGAGCTTTTGATTGACTCCCATCGGCAGCTGCCTCTGCTGGGAGGTGGGGGCACAAGACGGGCTGGATGGGGCCGGTGCGGCAGAGGGGACACCATGGGGCGCACGAGGTGCTCTGCAGGGACACAG